GATGGAGCATCTCCAAGTGCATTTACCCCACAAAGATTTAATTTGAGGTTCAGTGTAGTACCACTGGGTGTATCCGTTTGAGAGGTAATTACATTTACACAAGATAGTAAGTCACTCATCTATAAAGAATATTGGAAATTTGTATTGAGCAACATTTATTTTTTAAATGTTTTAATAGACTAAAGAAAACTGTGAAGAAAAAACCCAACTAGAAGGATCGATATGTGAAGCATATTTACTATAAGAGACGACAACATTCTGCTCCAATTATTTCACGGAGGAAGAGTTTACAAAAGATTTGTTGGGTTTGGTGCCACAATTGACCATTCTGTTTTCCAATAGTTAGGTGAAGATTCGAGAAGATGCACATCACATTACCTTAATGATCAGGGAATCTAAGCAGCAACTCTTTATGTTTTTTCTTAATTGCGAAGAAATATAACTCTTTATTGAGTAAGACATTTTTTATTTTAATTTTTAACACATTTATCTGAAAATTATCATGATTAACCATTTCAATGATATTTTAATGTGTGAACAGTTTATTCATGGATTCATTAAATTTAGATGAAGGAGATGACATGAGCCGGGAAATCAAGAATAACTTCCTCTAGTTGTTTACAGCACACGTGAGTTAAAATTGAAATTTTCATTCCTCATGTAACATGAGGATTTTTATTAACAAAAAATTTTGTATGTATATATTAAGAGATTCAGAATTGGAGAAATGAAGTGACAGATCAGGGGTTGATAGATCTTGCTTGGAGACCTATACGCATCGTGAAAATCTGACAAATTTACTTGAGAATGGGTACAGTTCCATACGATATTATGGTCTGAAGGAAAAAAAAGCTTTTTAATTCAACATTTTTGTTAAAACAAATGATAAGTTGAACGATGAGATAGACTATGATAGGATTTTGAAAGAAGTTGTTGAACTATCTTATCCAAACTCTACTGGTGGAAGTGTATTCATATTCAACTATACAGTTCGATCATGTTTCTAATCGTAGAACAATGGTAAACAATTTTATACTATCAGAGAAGTGAATGTGAAAAGAAGATATGCTAAATTTGATCCTTTCACTCTAGCTCGATAAGCGAGACACATTTATTCTCTTTGATATCTTCATAGAGCAAGAGATAACGTTGATTGAACAGTTGTCATTTTGAATAAACCAAGAGCTACCATTAATATTCTGAATAACATTGAATTTCCCCATCAAGAAACATAAATGATAGGTTTTTTTTTTCCACTTGAAGGAATCGATGAAGAGCTCAATTTAGAGGATGCTAGTGGCGAATACAAAGAAATTAATTTCAGTGATTAGTACAACTCCGACGATGCATTTAAAGAAGACATCATGCTTATATCCTTCAGTCACTCTTGAGACGATGCTGAGTAAGAAGAGTAGTTTATTACACTTTTCATTAAATTTCGTATTTTAGTTTGTTTCATAGTTTTATGATTTCCGTTTTAGTAGTTGTACTTTGCACTTTACAAATTTGTTTATTTGTCTACTGCATACTTATATGTTTTATAAATGATCGACTTTTTGTAAATCGACAAATATAAGAATTTGATGGCTCTACTAGAAGATTTAATTTCCAGCAACGGCGTCCAAAGACTTGATCGCGACTTTATAGATGTGTCTAATTTGATTAAGATGTATAAATATAATATTCAATAATGTTAAAGTCGAATTTGTCAACGCAAGTATACGTATCACTCAAGTAATATAGGGCTCTAATGGAGTCCTATATATCGATCCCACAGTGAGTAGTTCAGAATTAAGGACTAAGACCTTAGAAAAGCAGTACTTTAATCACAACAACGACATTCAATTTGTTTATCTGTCACTAATAGACAATTGAAATAAATATATAATTTTAATAACTAATAAATAACTAATGATATAAAGTAGGGTTTAATTGTAATATTCAATATATAAGAAACATCATTCTCCTTGTCAAGAAATTATAGTGAATGAATAAAATGAATTAGTTCAATTTATATTGTGCCAAATAGGATCATATCTATTATTTACCCTTTGGTCCAGGCATAAGGAACATTGACTAATCCTATGCTTGTTTACTGAATCTGCGGCTAGGCTGGGAGG